TGTGTGTGTGTGTGTGTGTGTGTGTGTGTGTGTACGAACAAATAAAAACCCAGCGAAGCGGGTACTTGCAGCTAGTGTAATATATTATACAAGGTATTTTAAAAATGATATATAAAATACAGACAATATAGTTTATTTTATAATATTAAAGACAGAAGTGTTGTAAGAATAGGAATGAAGAACCATATGTCCCAGGCCCTAATTGAGAAAGAGTATGAACTCTCGTAATTGACAGTAAATAATTTTTAAAATAATTATCAATAAAAAGTTAAATATTATGCTGTTAAAAAATACCATATTATACATTATTATTGCACATTGTTAAACATGCACAGTTTTTTTTTATAAATGTATATTGCTCTCGGAACAATAAATCCAAGATACGCCTCTAATCAAATATGTTTTAATTTTATGCTGTTAAAAAATACCATATTATACATTATTATTGCACATTGTTAAACATGCACAGTTTTTTTTAATAAATGTATATTGCTCTCGGAACAATAAATCCAAGATACGCCTCTAATCAAATATGTTTTAATTTTATGATATTGGACTACAATTTTTAAAATTTGCAGACCTGTAAATTCCCACTGAAATCTGTCTGTCTGTCCTTTCTTAATCTGGAGAAAGGAGTAGATGAAAGTTAAGACCACACGTGGAAAGACTAGGGGCAAGAGGTCCGATTAACTATATACACAACTTCCAGTTTGGACAGAAAATCAGGTTATATCAATTCAAAAATATTCTCCTGAATGGAGTTAGATAATCCGCATGACTCTCTTGTTAACAGGAAAAGTATAATGTACAGGAGCAAGACACTATTAAAATTGAGAGCATTGTGACAATGTCACAATAAATAATTGCTCATTATCATTACAATTTATTTTTACTGTAATGGTAAAATTAATAAAATGAAATGTATGCAATGTATTTAAATTGCAAATGCATAATTTATTTTAATAGTTAATTATAGTTACCATAAAAAATTATAGCTTTTTTATAAATTGCTCCATTGATTTACAAGTAGATATATTGTCATATTATTGTTTATTCACAAAAAAATTAATATAAAAAATGATTAATATCAATACATAAAAAATTGCAATTTATAAAATGCTTGCTTACTACTTTAACAAGCAGGGAAAGCGTGTTTTAAAAATGCATTTTCATCATTTTACAATAAATTTTTTTATATAAATTTGATATAAAATAATGTATAAAAAATGAGAATAGAAAAAGGAGTTTTAAAAAATCGTTAAATAGTAATAAATAATTTAAATTTAAATATATATTTTTCATTTAAGAAAATACAGAAAATATTCCTTTAATAAAGAAAGTTCATTTTAAAAGTCTTTCAACATCATCAGTATGCTACGTACAAAGACACGAAAGTATTAAAAAAAATTACAATTTTTTTATACTGTAAATGTAATAAAAAGTATTTTGTAGAAAGTTTATTTCAGAATAAATACTAAAAAGTAATTTTAGTCTTTAGACAAGAAATCAGTTTGTGAAGAAGCAGTGAGTAATCATTGTAGAAGAATGATAAGATGGCTTCCTCGAAACGACACATTTCGTTTACTTTGAAATGCTCTGTTTCACCAAAGGCAATATTCGAGTTTGAATACGTAACGATCTAAACTATCAAGAGAAAATCTACTATGGAATCTTGCCAGTAAGCAAAGAAATTCAAGAACAATTTAAAGAATCTCCAATCTTAAATATCCTTTCTTTAACTTAATATTTTTTACTCTTAAACTTAATTATTTTTTAAACAAAATATTTCTTTATAAAATAACAAAAAAGAAAATATTTTCTTAGATAAAATATTTGCAATAAATTAATAATTGTAGATTAATTTAGATTTTTAATGATTTTATTCACTGGAGATTTCGTTACTGTCGTTAAAAATTCTTAAGTTTCAACTATAACTTGAAATTTTATCTGTAATTATATTATCATTTAATTAAAAATTTTAATTTATATAAGAAAAAATAAATTAGTTTTTAATAAAAAAAAGATTTCTTAATTTAATCTTTTAATAAAAATTAATTAGATATTTAAAAAAATAATAATAATAATAATTTAAAAAACGTTTGGAATATTTAAAAATACAGTTTACCCACGGAAATAAATTACAAGGTTGTTAAAGAGAAGCTTGTTTACAGATTAGATAATAACTTATATGGTAATTCATGTAATTTAAATCTATCTTAATCTGAAAATGGGGTTAAGAATAGTCAGTCTAGTTGTTACCAACTGAAAATTAACATATTGACTTAATAGGACAGAATTGTGTTTTCGAATGACAGGCACGCTTAATGACAGGATACGTAGATGTGTACATGCCAACCAAATCGTTCGGGATTCTTACCGAACGGATTAATTTCTGTTGTCGGGTGCAGTCGATATATTCTTATCTTATCCTATCAACACGGGCGAGCGAAGATATTCCGCAAAACGATCGAAACGCCGAAGTACTTTGAGCTTGTTTTCCGCCGTACGACCTCGTTTTCTCTAACCAGTCACCCGTTATCGACACCAAATCACAACCACACATTATCCACAACTACGCTACGGTACATACGAGGCAACGGATACTACCGAGTCCGTTCACTCGCCTCACGTTTGTCTTTTTTTCCATCCGAAAATGCCTCTCTCTCTCTTCTCTCGCACGGCATTATCAATCGCCGCGACGAAAACGAAAGCGATCAATGAGGAAAAAACCCACCACACCACCACCACCACCACCTTTCCCGTCCCCTACACCGTTACGTAATCGCACCATTCGTCGACGTTTCTGCTGCATTTTTATCAACGTAAACGATACGCGAGTAAAACGTCAATGGAAGAAGAAAGTTGCCATATGAAATATCTGGCGTGAAACCGACAACTTGCTTTTCCATTGACTTTTACTCGTGCTTAGGCTTAATATATTAAAAAGGCGGTCGAAACGTCACTCACCTCAACTTAAAGCATTCGCGGTTCCATCTAACGACTAGACGACGGAGGGCAAGTAAAGCTCCATTTCTATTTAGCATCTCGCGCGATTTTTTGGTAGTAGCCTGGCGAGTTGCGACGATCGCACCGCGTGCACTCTCCACTATAGTCGATCGACATCGGGACGAAGGCGAGGCTGTCGCTATCCGCGCGCACCGACAATTGCCGTCGTCGTCGTCACGTGATCGCTCCCCTTTTAATGTATACCAACGGAGAAGGCTCCGGACCGTTTTGGAAATCCAGGGTTACGTGCTCGAGATGATAATCTGGCACCAAGTTCAATGCACCGCGCGGGTTTAGGGATGTCCGACCATCTGGCCAAAGTACGGAAACGTCGGCGATAAGGAAAGCAGAAGGAGAAGAAAAAGAAAATATATATATATATACATGTGTGTGTGTGTGTAAAGTATAACGCAGTAGACGGGTCGAAAGCTGGACGGGATTTGTTTTGGCGATCCGAGTCGTTCACCTCGCGTCTGAATTTAGACGTCCCTATTTCTAGGGGAGAAGACTTTTGCCAACAAGACGATACCAAAATGCAACACTGGCTGGCAGGTACCGTAGTGACGTCACAGGAGATGTCAGGTTGCATTCACAGGTGCGTCTTCCATGAATTGCCAACACACGTTTCGAGAAAAAGCACCCGCGCGTTTTAAAAATCGCATGACATTTTTTTTCGCCATAAACAC